AAAACCCACAAAAAAAAAAAAAAACCCACAAAAAACAAAAAAAAAAAAGGGAATTTTTTGCCATTGGGTTACATCGAACTCGTGCCTAGGTTCGTTGGAACCTAGGCGTGGGTTCAATGGGACCTAGGCTTGGGTTTGATGGAACGCCCAGCGTTGGGTTCCAACGAACCCAAGCGCTAGGTTCCAACGAATCCAAGCACGGGTTCCATGGAACCCAACGTTGGGTTCGTTGGAACTCAGCGTTGGGGGTTCCACCAAACCCAAGCCTGGGTTGGATGGAGCCCAGGCGTTAGGTTTCGACGTGGGTTCCATGGAGGGCTTCTCTCAGCAAAGAATTCTGTTGGGTTTAAAAGGAGAAAGAAAGGAAAGGAGAAGGAAAAACAAATAAAAAGAAAGAAAATTTTTTTTTTCATATTATTATTTTTTTATGTTATTATAATAAAGTCCAACTTGGACTTGCCAACATGTAAAAAAATCTTGAGTTAGCATTGACACATCAAGGTATAACGGAGATTAACATGTATGTGTCGCACGTGATCTTCTACCATTAAATTTTACCTTATTTTTCTAAACTCAAAAATATGAAAGATAAAAAATCGTATATTATATTATGAGGAGTAAACCACCTCAAATTCAAAAAGTTAAAGGGCAAACGGTACCTTTTACCTATTTTTATTTATCCAAACAAAAGTAACGTAGCCTGTTTCCTTCTGATTTTTATCCAAATATACGCTAAATTTCAGAATATTTACCTAAAAAAAAAAAATTCAGAAAAATAATTTTCCCATTTCCAATATCCATTGCAATTGCAAAGCTTGAAATCCCTATAATTTTGGGTTTAATCCGCAAGCATCAGACCTCAAATTCGCGAAGATTCAGATTTTCTCTTTCTCGACCTGATGGAAGCCGATGTCTCAATTTTCTTCAAAATCCCAACATGAATTTCTGAATCTCTATCATAAGTGAATAAAATTCGGGTTTCGAATTGGTTTTCTGATACTTGATTTGATCGAAGAAGATGGCGACCATGAATCAGGCTGTGCTGTTACGATTTCTCTCTGTGTTGAGTTTTTGTTTCGTAGCTTCGGCGAACGTGGTGTTGATTGGGAATAACGTGACTCTTTCTTTCGATGACATCGAAGCTACTTTTGGTGAGCATACGGTTTTCTTTTTTTTTCTTCGAGTTATTTCTTTTGATTTTGGCGTTTTATGTCTGGTCGCTGGGATAATTGGAGAAAAGCGGAAGGAAAATTGAAGGCTTTTGTTTTCTAAGAACTGAAAACTCGAAGTTTTACAGAGCTAACCTTTGCTTTTTCTCTTTTTTATTTTTATTTTACATAATTTTTTTAGATGAAAATGGAAATTTCATATGTTTTTCTTCTCGACGTTATTGTGTTAGTTAAGAAATGGTTTATCATGCGATCATAGTGTAGTATAAGTTATAAACTGAATTGGGTAATTTGTTTTCTTCCATTT